CGCGCGCGCCCCCATGTATCTTAATAGTATGCTGAGGATAAAAGGTCTTCCTCTGAATAAATGAGCTGTTTAACTATTAAATAAAATTAAACTGACTTCTTATCATAGGACTTCTTGGAGACTTTAATACACTAATGTACATTTGGGCTTTATAAGAGTAAGAATTTATTTATTTATTTTTATTTTGATTTAGGTTTTTATTATTTTATTATTTTATTTAGGTTTTTGCTATAGGGCATGTGAGCTTACCAGGAAGACAGAGAGAGACAGAGAGACAGAAAGCGAGAAATCACCCCCCAGGGGGGAATGGCCACACCACACTCCCTTCTCTTCCATTCTCCTCTCAGGATCTTGGGCACACATGCACACGTGCCTGGCGTGAGTTTAAACCACCGGGTCTGGGACTCAAACTGCAGTCGACTACATGGTAGTCCAGCGACATAGCCATTACGCTAACTACTAGTCCCAAGAGGAAGAATTTATAGATGGTAGGTTGTTTGTTTGTTTGTTTTGAGAGGTTTTTGCTATAGGGCACGTGTGCTCGCCAGACAGACAGAGAGAGACAGAGAGACAGAAAGCGAGAAATCACCCCCCAGGGGGGAATGGCCACACCACACTCCCTTCTCTTCCATTCTCCTCTCAGGATCTTGGGCACACATGCACACGTGCCCAGTGTGAGATTTAAGCCACCGGGTCCAGGACGTGAACCGCAGTTGACTACATGGGAGTCCAGCGACATAGCCATTACACTAACTGCTGGTCCCATATAGATAGTAGTTTTTATGCTCATTTGATTGCATATGTTCTTAAAGTGTGTATTTAGGAGCTTCAGTGAAGGGCTTGGAAAATATTGAAGGATGCTCTGTTTGCATCTTTTATTCTGAAAAAGTAGAGACAGGTCTAGGTCACCTTAAGAGATGATGATTTATTAAAAGGATAAACATGGAAATAAGGAGGTCAAATAAGGATTCTCAAGCAGAGGAGTCAGGCCCATGGGGACTGGGACAAAATTTGGAAATTGAACAGTCATTCAAAAGACAATACAGCTCTTTGGCAATGATTTATTGGCTATGACACCAAAAACACAGGTGACAAGGAAAAAATTAGTTATTAAAAAACAGTTAAATTGGACTATCAAAATGTAAAACTTCTGTGCAGCAAAGAATACAATCAACAGAGTGAAAAGGCAATCCATGAATGGGAAAAAATATTTGTAAATCATATATCTGGTAAAGGGCTAATATCCTATATATGTAAAGAACTCCTACAATTCAATAACAACAAAAAACAAACAACCCAATTAAACAATGAGCAAGGGACTTAAATAGATATTTCTCCAAAGAAGATATACAATTGGCCAATAAGGACATGAATCAGCCTCCTTTCATGACCAATCAGCCACGGCCCCAGTGGTACTGCTGTATAGTAGACAGAATAGCTAATGTACTATAACAGAAATGGCTAGATGTTTGTTGGTCCACTAAGGCCCAGGAAGGTGACCTTACTTCAGTGAGCTCATGTGGTTAATTGGTATGAAAATCCAAGATGAAACTAGATCTATTCACTTGCTTGACCAGGGTGCTATTGTAATACATCAAGGGAAAGAATAGTCTTTTTGAAAAATAGTGCTGGGACAACTGATAGCCACATACTAAAGAATGAAGTTAGACTCACACCTCACACCTTATACAAAAATTAACTTAAAATAGATAATAGCCTGAAGGTAAAAGCCAAAAATATAAAATTTCTACACAAAAACAAAAGTTTTAATGCTTGGGACCTTGGATTAGACCATGATTTTCTAAATATGACATCAAAATCACAAGCAAAAAAATATAAATCCGATCAATTGAGCGCCATCTGATGAAAAATGTGCGTGCTTCACAGGATGACCATTAAGAAAGTAAAAACACAATCCGTGAAATGGAAGATAATATTTTCAAATTGTTTATCTGGTGAAGGACTGGCATCGAGTATACAAAATAAAACAAATAAAAACAAAAAAAAAACTTCATAACTGAATAATAGAAAGACAAAAATGTCATTTATAAAATGGACAAAGGATCTAAATAGACATTTCTCCAAATAAGATACACAAATGGCCAATAGGCAGAGGCTCAACATCATCAGTCATCAGGGGAATGAAAATCAAAACCACAGTGAGATACTACTTCACATTCATTATAATAAAAAAGTCAGGGACCAGGAGATGGCATAATGGTTATGTCGCTGGACTTCCACCTAGTCAACTCTGGTTTGAGCCCCAGACCCGGCGACTTAAAACTCATGCTGGGTACATGTGCATGCATGCCCAAAATCCTGAGGGGAGAATGAAGAAGAGATTGTGGTGTGGCCACCCACCCAAGAGGTGATCTCTTGCTTTCTGTCTCTCTGTCTCTTTGGTGAATGCATGCACCCTATAGCAAAAATCTCTCTTAAAAAATAAACAAAATAAGGGACCAGTAGTTGGTATAATGGCTGTGTTGCTGGACTTTCATATAATTGACCGCAGTTCGAGTCCCGAACCAGTGGCTTAAACTCACACCGGGCACATGTGCAAACATGCCCAAGATCCTGAGAGGAAAATGGAAGAGAAGGGATTGTAGCGTGGCCATGCCCCCCTGGGGGGTGATTTCTCACTTTCCGTCTGTCTGTCTCTGTCTTTCTGGTGAGTGCACACACCCTATAGCAAAAACTCCAAATAAATAAATAAAATAAATAAATAAAAATGACAGATAATAATAAGTGTTGACAAGATATGAAGAAATTAGAAGACTCAAACACTACTGATAAAAATGCAAAATGATGCAGCTTCTTTGGAAAACAGTTTACTTTCTCAAAAGATTAAGCATAAAGTTACCGTATAGCCCAGAAATTCCTCTCTTAGATATGTACCCAAGAGATATGAAAACATGTCCACACAAAAACTGTGCACAAAAGTTCAGAGCAGCATTATTCATAATCCTTCCCAAATGGAAATAGCCCAAACATTCATAAACTGGTAAATGAATAACAAATGCAGCATATCCACATGACAGAATATTACTGGGAATACACAGTAATTACTGAGACATGCTATGAAGAGATTATTTCAGTGAAAAGCCAGTCAGAAAGGACCACATATGATTTAACTTCGTTTATATAAAGTGTTCAGGATAGGCAAATTTATAGAGACAGGAAGTAGATTAGTGGTTGCCTAGGCCTGAAGGGAAGGGAGGAGATTGGTAGGAGGGTATTGGTTTTGGCTATGGAGTTCACAGGGTTTGTTTTTT